TCTCAAAAAAAAAAAAAATCGTGTTTGGGGTGATATAACAAGGAGTTGCTTTACCCCATATGCCTCCCCACTACCACCTCCTGCCACTGCATAGCTCCTGTCACACTGAGCTCTGTCACCTACAGATCCTTTCCAGGATGCTGCCCCATAAGCACGTGGCTTCCCGGCTGCCTGTGTGTCCCCCAGACGAGGACAGCAGTCAGGAGGGGCAGGTATTGGGGAGGGAGCTAGAGAATAGAGACGGACGTTGTGGCCGTGATGGGGTCTGCAAAGTTTATCTGGTCACAACGCCTAGGTCATCCTTGGGGAGTGTCCCTCTACTTCACGCCATGCGGGGAAAGCTGGTTTGCCAGGGCTGCTTGGCTCAAACAGGAGACGGGAGTTCTAAGTGCAGAAAATGAGGAACAAGTTCTGAATCAGATGTCATTAAAAAAAAAAAAATACAGCGTGGCCCTTAATCCAAGAAGCACGTATGAGTCTGCAGGGAGTGCGTTAATGCCCTTCAAATTGTTGCCCTTAGTGTGAAGGATGAGGTCCAAAAACTGGAGCAAGTTTTCCCCCTCCCACTTCATCATGTGTTGGGATGAGGGGTGTAAGAGAGTCTTCCCCACACTTTCTTCCTGTCTGTGGCCAATGGACAGATGCTGCCCTTTGGTTCCCGGGGAGAAGCACACTGACAACCAGGAAGGGCTCGGGGTCCTCTTCTTGGAGAACAGAAACTGGGGGTGGGACAAAAAGGAGGTAGGGCAGTGTAGCTAAGCCAGAACTGATACTGGGAACCCGTTATAGTTGGAGATGATTGAATAGAAAGTTGGAGGTGAAAGTGGAAACCAGATGATTACGGGTGAGGAGCACAAGCTGATTTCACCTGCTGAGCGACAGTGTGCTGGATTCAGGTTGCTAAGAATCCTGCAGAGTGCCCTGAGGATTAGAAACCAGCAGAGATCCTTTCTCTTCAAGAGAGGTACTGCTGTGTGTTGTTACACGTGTGTGGTAGGGAAATGGATTTCAAAACTCAGATACAGGGCGGTGCCTGTGGCTCAGTGGGGAGGGCACCAGCCCCATATAACTGAGGGTGGTGGGTTCGAACCCGGCTCTGGCCAAACTGCAACAAAAACAGCTGGACGTTGTGGCGGGCGCCTGTAGTCCCAGCTACTCAGGAGGCTGAGGCAAGAAAATCGCCTAAGCCCAGGAATTGGAGGTTGCTGTGAGCTATGATGTCACAGCACTCTACTGAGGGCGATATAGTAAGACTGTGTCTCTAAAAAAAAAAAAAACGAAAACTCAGATACACTCCAGAGTATCTCAGAGTGGAAGATACTTTTATATATCAAAAGTTTTCCTTTGTGTAGATTATATATAGGTACTGCTTTGTAGAAACCATAAAGGTAACAATTAAATATTGAATACAGGATACTATTAAGGATTTTAGAAAGGAAGTTAAGAAAGACACTGCATGATATCAGATGCTCAGTAACCCCTAACCAAGTCTCACCTCCCATGTCCAGCTGCCTGGGAGGTGGTTCCTGAGGGATTGATAAAAATCAGTGCGTCCATTGCACGGATTTATTCAATGGACTGACCCCATCCATTAAATAGACACCAATGGATGGGATCAGTCTCTAAAAAAAATCTTACAAAAGACATTCCTAGAACAAAGTTTGGCCCAGACCACTTCATGTAGGGCACTGATTTCTTCCTATGGTAATGATGTCCCAAGATACTTAAGACAAAGTTGTTCAACATTTGAAGAGAACATAGAAGCAAAAAGGAACATTTTCTGAAGCTGGAATTCGGTGTGATGTCTGGGAATAATGAGATGATGAATACATTGGGTCATTTCTTTTTTTTTTTTTTTTTGCCTAGATAAAAGTTGCCCTCATACTTTCTACAAACCATTCTCATGTGCCATTCGGAAAATGAACAAGGAGATATTTACAAGTCTGGAGACCTCAAGATAACTGAAGTGGTCCACGCAAAACCTTTGTAACTTTTGAAAGTTACCACTAGTACACTCCTAGTGCAGCTATTTGCCTCAAATAAGAATTCATTTTAAATTGACTGAAGGGTGATAATGAAATGATCTGTCTCCTTCAGAATTCAGCGAGCGCAGAGCATCCTGATTGTGAGGCATGATGCATTCATTTGGGATTTGGTCATTGTCAAAGCCTCTGTGTTGAGAAGAGCTGTGATAAATACCGATATTCTCAATTCCAGAAGGCCAGAAGGCCGCCCCATTAGGATATAGTTTCAGAAATGTGTACATGGCACATGGAGAAACAAAGCTTTCTTGATAACATAGCTGAAGTTGAAATGATCCAGAATTTGTCATTTAATTTTTTTGACTATGCTGAGTAAAGTTTTAAATCTCTCACTGTAGTGTGCTTAAAGTTTTTCCTATGGTGATTTATTATTTTCCGAGAGTCGTACCTTACAGAAATGTAGAGTTTCCAAGGCTTTTGTGTGAGGGTCGTTTGCTAAAGACATTTTCCTTAACACCTCGCTTATCTAATACGTGCGATTAGTCAGCTCAGTTTTCTGAAATACGGTAAAGAACCCAAAAGTAAATAAAAATGCTTTTTTTTTTTTTTTTTTTTTGA